CAAGCACGTCCTTATCGGTGTTTGAGGCCTGTGTAGTACCTGGACACTTGTGTCACAGCGGTTGCTTGACACTTGGCCAGACACCAAAAAGGACATAAGCGAAACCTGATGAAGTAAGCAAGAATAGCAATCATTGGAGTGAGATGTAGGGAGGAAAAGGAAGGTAGGGAGGGATTGTTGTTTGGGGGCAGGCATTGACATGCTGAAGAATGTGTGTGAGCAGGTATGAACATTGAGTCTGCCATGCTATTTTCTTTCTTGTGACAGAGAAGAAGAGATCCTCAGGAACTCTAACCTGCTTTGTGAGAAAGAAGAATATTAACTTGTCGGCTGTAGTGCAGCGTTTATCCTACATCGCTCTATAGATCTGCCCGTGCTTACAGTAACTGCAGGAGACGGAATCCTTAAAGGAACTTCCCCTGGAGGAAACCACTGTCTCTCAGCAGTCAGCTTTCAGTGAGTATTTACCTCTCAGGCTGAAAAAGTCAAGCATCCGCTGAGTGCTTGTAAAGTCTCGAAATCACGTGTAAAAATATCTTCCTGGATTCTATAGTTTTAGCGCAGGAAGCGTGTCACTTTAAAGGCTTTTCGAGAAGCAGGAGATATTGCATCACAAAACGTGTGTTTGCAGTGTATTAGACACATTCAGTACGCTGAGAATACAAACACTGAGTGAAAGCTTCATCTGCTTTATGCTGCTTCATAGGCTACAGTGTTGGAGAATTTGTGTTGGGTTTTTTTTGTTGTTGTTGTTGCTGTTGAATTGTCTTTGGTAAAAACACGTGAATTGTTACAGTGTCTGATTGAAAAATGAATTTCACAATCCCTGAAAATATCCTACTCTGGCAAACTGCAGATATACAGCAGTAAAAATAGCACACAAGAGACTGGCAAATTCATTCAGGGGAAAATCTCCTGCTCCCAAAAATATGGAGACTTGGTATTCAGTGCCACACTATCAAAGCTGCCATAATATGCTGGGATAATGCTTGAGTTTGTTTGTCATTGTAGCACAAATTTCAGCCCAGTGAGATGTGTTCCTCAAACAGCTGGCTAATTAAACCACCAAATGCATTTAGCACTGACATAACTCTACTGTTGCAGCTTCAGTTTTAACATCACTCAGACATTAAGTTATTGATTCAGCTCTTAATCATAATGCATGGCAATGTACTCTTTGTTGTTGGTCCCTGTAATCCACTTCACACTTTAGTTTGAGAATGGATTTTTTTTTCTTCAACCCATGTTGTCATGGTAATTAACACTTGTCTGACTCCAAGTTAGATAAGAATTATCACTGAATTATGTGAGCACAGAAGTGAAGTCATGGAAAGCTATGCCAATTAAGAACCCACTTTTGCAATTTTACACTCAGTAATCTTACTATAGTTGAAAAAGATTAAAGTTTTGCTTTCTTTTATCAAAGCCAGACCCAGAAGGCATTCGTCTCTCCTTTTTCAGTTTGGTGTTTGTACAACAAGACAGACTTGTTTTACAGTAGGTGCCTTTGATAAATTTCAAAAGTTATTCATAAAGCAGTCAAAAATAGTACAAACGATTAATAAGGCATGTAATGGCAAATAACACTAGAAGAACACATCAAAGTATTTTGTATCTATGTAAAAATCAGTGTTATTACACTCAGATAAGTATGCTGCACACTTCTTGAGGCTCACACACACACACACCCCTACACACACACACACACACACACCCCTACACACACACACACACACACACACGCACACATCGCCTTAGGACCAGCATGAGTAAATAACAAGACGTGGCCAGAACCTGATGCCTGCTATACTTAAAGCCAATGCAGGTCAGACTATGACCAATGAAAATCCTGTAACAACTGATGATATCAAGTGTATCACCACACACCATTACAGCAGAACTCATGAGCACAACCTGCCATGTTAACCTGACTATAAGAGAGCCCCGATTGCAATATAACCCCCCTTTGAAGACCTACACTTGTTTTTGAGCAGACATGAAACACTATGACTTGAAACATTTTTGTAATATAAAAATCAAACACAAAATTCTTCCAATTAAAGTGTGCCAGCTTCCAAAACACTTTAAGGGCCAACAAACTCAAGAGACACACTATGAGCAGACATGAAAATACTTGCTAGCTTAGCTACATTAAGGCCACTAACATGTATATTATTACACAGCGATCAGCCACAACGTGAAAACTGCTGATAGCTGTAGTGAACTACACTGGTCATCTTGTTGCAATGTCATGTTCTGCTGGGAACACGTGCCACCTACATGAGACCACAGAATGGTCCGGCTGCGCCTTCTTATTCTTCGACAGGGGGAGAAACACTCTATCTTGTTTATATTTCTTTAAGCCAATCAAAATTGTATTGGGCAGAGCTTAGCCAAAGATGCAGCAACAGTCTTCCCTTGGTGGAAGATTTGCACATAGAGAAGTGAACCCAGGATTTAAAAAACAAAACAAAAACCAAACAGTAACACATAGATAGCTGAGGTGAAGACAAAGCCATGTAAAACGCACAGCCAATGACAGATTCATACCTATGGCCTATATCTGGCAAGTCAGACCACTGCAGATCAAACACTTCTGCTCCCCCAGCAGGACAATGTGTCCTGACAAACCACTAAACTGCTTGGAACAGCTGGAGGAACATGAGAAAGCATTGACCCAACCTCCAAACTCCTCAGATTCCGATCCGATTGAGTGCTGTAATAAGCCTGACCCACAGAGGTCCCATCCCACAACCCACAGGACCCAAAGGATCTACTGTCAGCACCCGATGCTGAATACCACAGGACTCCCCCAGACGTCCTGTGTTCATGGCTCAGCAGGTCAGAGCTGTTTTCGCAGGGCAAGGAGGACCTACACAATATTAGGCGGAGGGTTTTAATGTTGTTGCTGATAGGTGTGCACTATAAATTTTGTTAAATTCAATCAAATACAGGAACCATATCAGTGCTGTTCAGCTGTCCCTCTCATGTAAGCTGGTGGTAATGCCACGGAGAAATCTATGGGAAGGGCAAAAAGGGGGTGAGCTCAGGTCTGGCTGCAACTCTGTCTGTCTGCAGACTTTCTTTTTTTTCCCCTTTTAACAGATCAAAAGCAGGGGAATGAGGTCAAGGTAGAGAACCATGAAAGGAATAAGTCAGGGAAGAATGCAAGGACAATGTCGAGGGTAGACAGCTAAGAATGAGAACATCAGCTCACTCGGGGAAAACACAACCCAGTGCTTTTGTCTGTGCTCATCCGGGTTTAGGGTGACTGGTTGTCTGAGATCCCTCATTGCGTCTGTACGAAGACTTAAGCTGCCAGTGGCATTTGTTCTATCATCTTTACACAGACTAACACATCCACTGCCTACAGATTCATGTAAGGTCAGTGAATAATGTGCTGCTGGGATGGTGTTCAGCTGTGAATGCTGGTTAAAGAAAGCTTTGAAAATGTGAAAATTAAGGAGTAACTTTTGATTTTCACCGTGAAGAACTCTCAAACATTTTACCTGCAGTGACTAACTTGTGCTCTCAGTGCTGAATGTAAGACCAGTACATCTTAGTGTTCTTTTCAGGAACTCACAGTTTGAATGTTCTAAAATATGTCAAACATTTTGAACTTCAAAGTGTGGCATTAAATATGCCTCATTGCCGTGTGCTTAATTCATATTTTGAACAAGCTTTGATCTAGGATTCTCCATCCGTACATGCCGTGATTCAAAATACATCTCTGTTCCTGCACGATTCAAACTAATTCCTATTGTACGCTGAAATTTGGAGTGGGAGTATACACAAGAAAGGCCACAAAGCACATCAGGAACCGCTGAGAGGAAAAAAAAAAGAGAGAGAGAGAGAGAGCTGTAACCAACTAAAAACGTTCAAATGGATTTGGCAACAGCACCAGTGTACATAAATACCGTTACATAGTCAGAGTAAGCAGTTTGTTAGCAGACTGGGGAGCATCTTGGGTAATCTATTGGCAGCTATGAGTTCATGCATCAGTCTCAGACTTCCATTTGGCACACAGGTCATCAATCCCCACTGTAAGAAAGGCAGAAAGAACACTTTAAATCCACCCACACGTCCTAATTCTACACCCCACCTCCCATATTAAGAACGGTTGACTCCTCATCACCGTGACCTCCAGTGATCGGTGCGTTTGTACCAAACTGCATGAACAAATGTGAGGTGTTTGTGTGGGTGTGTGCATGCATGTGTGCTTGAAGTGTTTGCCTCATTGTGTTCGGTTGTGTACCTGCTCGGGGTGATAAGGGCCAGTGCAGAGCGTGTCCTTTGTTCTGCCAGAATTACTCATCCCCCTGTGTCAGCATGGGTAAATTAAACCCCACTTTATCCAAGCTTCAAGCCCAGATAGTTAAAACCTAAGCCTGGTGTCGCTGCTGTTGTGCCGCGTGTTTGTTCGTCATTGTCTCAAAATGCATTGATGTTATTTTTTCCCCCTCTCTCTCAGCGGCAGCTACGTGCGGTGGCAAATATGTGAATTAAAACACAAGTGTCTTCAACAAGGCTCTCGTGCGATCCTCAAGTACGTCAGTGTGTGTTTTGAAGTGTGTGCAAACAGCCACTCCTACACATGCGCCTTAGCACCGTGCGGTCGGAATTCATGTTAATTCAAGTAGCCATAACAAGTGTTTCTTTTCCTGTTGGCCATCTGAGTCACAGGCTGCAGCCGAGGTGTGACACACAAGTCCGTCTCTCGCCCTTTCCCCCTCTGTCTCCCTCTATATTCTTCTATATCGCTCTCCTCTTTTCTGTGTTGCTATCTTGGTTTTCTACCCATTAATTGTCTGTCTTCCTTCCTTTCTGTCTCTTCCTCTTCTGTGTTGTTCTACCCTCCTCCTCTCCCCGGTGCCCCCCTCTCTGCCTCGGCTGCTTGTATTTGTCGACTCCCTCCCCTCCCCTCTTGCGACTCCCTCCTCCTCCTCCTCCTCCTTTCTTTCTCTCTCACTGGTCTCGCTTACCGTCAAGCCAGCCACAGCAGCAACAGCAGTAGCGCCAGTAGCTCACCCTGGCTCAGTCACAGCGGAGGCTGCAGTGTGTATACGTCTGCGTGTTTGTGTGTGTGTGTGTGTGTGTGTGTGGGCTTCATGTGTTTCCATGTTTACAGTGTATGAATCAGCCGGTGTGCCTGCTGCTCTTTAAGGAGCTGATATGACCTATACATGGAGTTACTCTGACCAAGGACTGCAGGAAGAAATGTAAGAAGACCGTCCTGGAGCTCTTTAAGAGGAAGAAGGAAGACATAACATCACTTTTTCCTCTTTCTCTCTCTCTCTCTCTCTCTCTCTCTCTCTTCGTTATTTCTATCAAACTAGCTTTTCTCTCACCATCTTACTGGCTTGCTACTACTAGGATTCTGTGAAACATAACTGTAAGTGGACATTCTTGTGTGTGTTGTTACCTGCTGTGTATGTTTGTGTGTGTATGATCTCACTCTTTGTCAGCTTTAACTTAGTATAGCCACAGTTTGTGCCTGAGCGCACATATTTGCATGCTAGAATAAATGGCATGTCATGACATCTCTAATGACTTAATTAGGCCAATTTGTAGCAAGGGAGCAGTGTATTCATGTAGACGCCACTGACCTCTGTGGTATAAATCTGTTCATATTCATAAATGTTAAGATTGACGCCAGATGCATATTATCAGCCAGTGCCAAACTGTCACTGCTGCCATTTATATGAAATGTCATTTGTTGGCGTAGCATGTGAATGAATGTCCTCTCCTCCAGGTATTCTCTGCAGTTTGTGGGTGTGAGTGAGTGAGTGAGTGAGTGAGTGAGTGAGTGAGAGGCAGACCGGGGCAGAGAGAATGATTGAGAGAGTGTTACTGTGTGGCTGTGTGTGTGTGCGCGTGTCACCCTGTCACACAGGACGTGGAGAAAATCAATAGATGTACAGCTTGAGTTGGACCGTTTACCCTTTGCCGAGTGATGAGCAGACACTGTGGCCTTCAAGGGTCCACAGACAAGTGCTCGGGATGGCCTGCAGATGTGCAGTCTGTCAGCTTGGCGTGCTCCTGCACAAGCGTCTTTCATTTTTCGCACACGATTGATCCGTGTGCGTTTTTTTTTTTTCAAGAGCTCTTTTGTGTTAGGACTGTGCGAGACGTGACTTAACGCTGTCCCTTTGGCTGAAAACTAGGAAAAGAGATCATAGATCAGAAGTTTCTCCTGTTGCTCCCAACTGGCGTGGCCAATAGAACCAGTCAAGGGAATGAGTAAGAGCAGGTGAAAAGACAGATAGTAAAAAAAAAAAAAGAGAGAGAGCCACAGCATGTAAGATGGGAACAGAGGGAGACCATCATAATCAATCCTCCATGATCCTGGAAGAGCATCATTTGTCTTCTTTTCTCACTCCACTCCTCCTCTTGCCCCCATCTTTCTCTCATTTTCTGTGGTACAGCTACTTTGATCTTGCGTAAGAAGATGGTCTCCAGAGCTTCATTACTTTTAAAGCCTTCATCGTGAGGGGCCATAAAAAGATGCTAAGGAATGGATTTCTAAGACCATTTACCAGACGTTCTGTACCGACTTGCGAGTAATGGCTACATAGGGATATTATGTTCCTCCACGGTGTGTAATGGCCTTCTGTGCCTTGTGCTCTGGGTTATCAGGGCAAACTGGGATTGGCTATGATACGTCAGTGCTGATGAATATGACGTTGTGCATATTAAGTGGTGCCTGCTGGGGATCCTGGCTCTGTTTAATTCATAAGGACATGGCACTGCGCCGTATAAACCTGTAACTGAATGCGATGCCGGGGTTTGTGTGTCTTAGTAAATTTCTGCTGGGGTTTTTTTTTTTTTTTTTAAGCCTTTCACATATGCTTGAATATCATTTTATGTCATGGGGCTTGGCACTGACCTTGTGTTTTGGTCTGTTCCTCTTTCTGTTTTTTGTACACGCATGCGTATGTTTGCCTACTTTTCAATAGATTGGGCAAGAGAATGTGTTCGGGGCAGTGATTTGCTGTAGGCATGAGGGGATTTGTATGGGGTAGCAGGAAAATGCTGGGGAGGAAATGATTGAGAGAAAAGGTCACTAGACAGGATGCCCTTTTTTTACAATAAAAAAAAAATCTGATACAGGAGACTGCAGAGAGACCAAAAAGTAGATGGAGAGAGAAAGCGGTGCAGTATTAGCAAAAGTGAGGAAGCAAATTAGAGGTAAAACTGAAGCTGAGAAAAACAAATCATTAAATAAAAAGAAGGAAAAAAAAAAAGGTAAGGAAAAGGGGTCTTTGTCTCACTGAAAATTATTTTTAGCCGGTGGCAAAATTGAAATACGTGACACTAGAACTCAGTGAGTCACGTCTCTGACGACTGACTTATCTGTACCAGTCATGTGACCCGTCAGATTGGCTGTGTTTCGGGGTGCTACTGTTGCTCTCTTCAGTCTTGCCCACTTAACAACAGTTGCCATATGACCCTGTGTGGTTGGGATTTTACTTTTAAAATGTATTCCAATAAAATTACTAATTAAATGTTAAACAATTTAACCAAAATCAAGTAATGTAACTTGATTACTTTTAATTAGATTTTGATTACCTGAATACCAAATATGCAAACAAACAAACAGAAGATAAGTAAATAAGGTGACTTTTGCTTTTGTGTATTCTGTAGTATGCACAGCAGTCAACTTTCAGGTGTGAGTTGGAGTGAGATTCTGAGACGGTGGTGGTGGGGGATGAAAAATAGATAGGAGTTATGTCTGTCTTTCTTTCTTTCTTTCTTTCTTTCTTTCTTTCTTTCTTTCTTTGTAATAGGGATTTAATTAAATAGAAATTGACCTAGAAAACCCTTTCAAAAGTCAGTAGAGAGATGCTGTGGTGTATTTTAGATTAGAAACATTCACTCATAAAGTCTCATAGCAGAGGTTTACCCCAAATGAATAATTACCAATAATCGGACCAAATCTGCTGACTGTGCAGCTGACAACATTTTTTATTTGTGTGTATATGGTACCATAAAATGGTTTTCATAGTCACTCGGTTACCTGTTGCCATACTTACGTTTCTTTTAAGGCATTGATTAAACTCCTAAACACTCCTTTGTGTATCGGAGTTTTATATTTTGAAGTTTTTCCATGACTACAATAAAGATGTGGCTCTACCCTGTTGCCTTCTCTGAAAAAAATGCAGCTATCTAGATCTAGAAAGTCCCCACCTTTCTCTCTAACTACCTCCAACCTCCCCCACTAGCTTCCACTGAAAGTTACCGGCTCACCTACGGCTCTGCTCAAACACTTCAGAACTCCCCCAAGCTACACAATGGCACGCTGTAATATCGGAGTAATTCAGCCACACATGCTGGGACTGGAAACTGACTCTAAAGAAGAACAATGATACAGAACGCCCCACCCTGTGAAGGAGGGCTTTAGTGATTGCAAGAAGTCACATTCTATATATAGTTAAGAGAAGTGACCATGTGCAGAACTACGAATGCAAATGTTCTGCCGTGAAACTGTGTAACAGGCAAAACAAAACAAAACAAAAATTATAAAACACTTAATATAAAATAATTTTTGTCTTTTGCAAACATATCAGACTGTTACTTAAAGTTAAATAAACAATTCTAAAAGATAGCTGCATAATCAGTAATGGCGTTTTACAATGGATTGTAAAGTTATAATCCTGCTAATAAACCCACTTTTCCCTGAAGTATGACAAGGTCTTTTTTTTCTTTTTTTAACTGTAACTTTAACAGGATACAGGCACCTTTTTTGTATCCTAATTACACTATGCCACCTGGCACCATAACAACACTATTCCCTGTGTTCCTTTGTCACGCCTTTTACAGTACGTCACAGTAGATATTCACCGATCCAACCGTTTCACTCCTAATACCTCCACTCAGGTTATCTATATCTGTCGAACCTAACCTGATACCAGTGCTGTCTTGTAAGGAGTTTATCTCAATTTCCCCATTTAAAATCTTTATATCTCACATTGTGGATCTCATTAGAATGATTTGAATGTAGGGTAACATGAGGTCAGGGACTGCTATAATATTAAAAATGAGTTGGCAGCCTTCTGTGACTGAGTAAATGCAACTGATAGTGGAGAATTTTACAATGACACAGACAAGAAACTGCACTTATTATGTGGATTTGTCACTCAAATATAACGATGGCACATATATGGGATTATGTGATTTTTGGACTGACAGTCTGATAAAGAAGACATTTTCAGGATGCTTTATTGGGTTCAGGTATTTAAATGGACATTTGCGGCATTTTCAGATATTCTATAGACAAATGTAAAATCAATTGAGAAAAACTTTTTATGTCGTTTCAACTGCAGCCCCAGTCTTGACTGAAGCCAGGTAAGGGACATTTTATATAATGCTAATGTGGCCTCTTAGATCATTGCATCTCATTCACACAGCCTGACTTTGTTTTCAGCCTCTTCACTATAAGATGGAGTGTAGAAGATCTGTCGAGTTGGTTGTTTGCTGATAACACCTGAAACTTATTTGCATTCATTAGAGAAACAGACACAATTCTGTTTTCATCTTCAGAGGCGAGCCTTTGACAGCGATATAGAAGAACAGAGAGGGGCAAGGCACAAATTGTCTTGTTTTATATTGTCATTTTAGTGTTCGAGGAACCATCATCTGCACGGTTGTAAAAGCCTAATTTTGATAGATGAAAGGGCTCGGAATGGTGCCGTGGCATCTGACTGTGTGAAGAGGCTGCAGATATCTTAATTAAAGTCTTCTTCCCCAGTATGATGAAATATGTGGGCTCACCTTTGTACCTTTTGTTAATTACCTACATTGTGCTGTAGCTTTGTTCGCAGCAGCCGGTGTCCTTGGCACAGTCACAGCCCTGCCTCCCCCCCTGTCCAGTAGCACAAGTTCGCATGTTGATGGTGTTACTTGTAGGTGCAGGAGTTTCGCTGTACGTCGTGTGTGCATGGATGTACATGTACAGTTTGTGGGCATGTCTGTGACAGAGTGTGAGGGTGTGTTTGTCTACAAATACGTACCATTTCTCTTGGTTATTGATGGGCTCGTCCCCTACCTCTATCTCAGTGACCCAGTTCTCGTGCTGACACCCCCTGTTCATATCGCGCCTGCAGCAAACACATGTAGTCAGAGCAGTGAGAAAAGGAAGAAAGAGGATTAAATAGAGACAGAAAAGGATAGTGGATTGTATGTCTTGCTGCCATGTGTCGACGTGATCGCACATTTTCCCTTCTTCAGATCGTAGGGCTCAGAGTGATTTCTGACACATGACTTACCTGTTCCTGTCACCTACGTGGTATAAGAGTGCAGTCGTTTCTTAATATTGATTTCTTGTTTAAGTGTTTGGCTTGTTTAACCCTATTTTCTTTTCTCTGTTTTGTCTCTACAGAGCAGCTTCCTGGGTAGCGCTACATTTTCAGTAGGGGATCTGCTGAGAGCTAAAGATGAACGACTGACCTTGAGTCTCAGGTAAGCGCATGTTTCTATCAGGCTCATTGCTCCCTGTGTCCCTCCAGGCTGAACAGAATTTAGACTTCAGAGTCCAAAGATTATGCCTTTTTCACACAACAGCTGACAGATGAATGTAAACATCAAACTGAGAAAAGAAATCTATCCACAGATGTTGCAACAGCAGCCTTAGGAATGTTGCCATGGCTGCCAGGGTTGTTTGTTTCAGGGATGTTGTGTTAGCATGTGGGAATACTGTACTCTGATCTGCTTTTGTTGCTTTGTGTGTGGGGTAAATAGGAGTGGAAATAAGTCTTTTTCTGAGAGGCATTTCAATGAAAGGAATACAATGAAATATCTGTGTCTTGTTCAGAGGTGGCCCAATAACATTCTATCTTTCAAGGACATCGTAATGTAATTTGGAATAGACATGGAGCCAAAATCTGATCACCACAGAGCAATTAATCAAGGAAAAAATATTGTGTATTTGTTCTGCGTGTAAGGCTGCTGAATAAAGGTCAAGAAAAAAGAGAAGTTCAAGCTTTATATTCACACAGCTCATGTACATCATAGGGCACTAAAACATAACACTGTAAGAATCTAATCAAGAATTTTTCTGCAAAGAAGATTGGTGGTTTGCCTTTAGAGAGGACACACAGTCATGTCTTAAATACCAGATAAGCTGTTGTCCTGAATGTAAATAATGCTGGGTCCTTTCTATGAAGTGCTTGATATGATTACAAAGAACGATGATGCAGGTATGTGGCCACTCAGGTTTGACAGGAACAAAACGGTATTTTGCTGGTAGGTTTAGTAATTTTACACAAAGTCAGCTTTGAGGTTTAGTTGGTAAGAAGATTGCTGAAATGGTACCAAAGTGGACTGATAATGTACATGTGGTAATTGTTTCTGTAGAGACACCGTAAACTGAGCTTCAGTTTGCACTTAGATCAGGTTATCATTGACAATACATCTACACAGGACACAGTGCGTTCACATACTGGTGTATGCTCATTTAATAAAACTTGGTTTAAAGTGGTCTTTTACAGTCCACTTAAAACCATAGACTGTATAAAAGATGGACGTAGCTACCGTGACGTCACCCGCTGGTCTCTGCACTGAGAAAATGAAGCCAGGGTTTTGCTGCTTCCTGGTTGACGTCTTGGATTTTTGGAGCCAATGACGCAAAAATTGTCGGAGGGGGGCGGAGCCATAGGAGCAGCGATTGGTCAGACGGATTGAGAGGCGGGCCCTCTCTGCCCGCCCACATTTACCGCCTTCTGCTCGCTTCGTCTGCATGGTCGCTGCCGACTGTCAATCAAGCCAGCCACGCCCCTTGCCCTGCAAAATTTTGACGATTTTTAAAAAATTCAGTATTGATTTATTTTCAGATTGGCCACCTGATCTCTGGATTTGACGATGAAAACTAATAAGAAAAAAATCGTGAGCTGTAGGAATGCGGTATTTCGTGATCTGTGATATCTTCTTTTCCAATTCATTTCTATGGGAGCCAGGGCTTTTTGGAGCCAGGACTAGCGGACGTAGTGATATTGCAGGTTTTTGACACTTCCGGGTTGGCTTCATTTTTCAGGGCCGGTTGCTACGTCCATCTTTAATACAGTCTATGCTTAAAACAAGAACTAGATCTTTTTAGTGGTCTTGTTTTTCTTTTCCTGTTTATTTTGTGCGTATGTTAGTTTTAGATTAGTGGCATTGGTGCTTTTGACTGCCACCTTTTTGCAACAAATCACATCGTTCAAGTTTTTATCATCTCTTTTTTATTTGTCTTTAAATGTACCCTCAACATTTCTGTGATTTTGCAACCAAATACAGTGTCTGCAGATGGTAATGGAAATGCAATCGGTCAAATATTTGAAGTTAAGTGCCTCAAAATTGCGAGTTGATTGAGGTCCGACATTTTTGTTGGTTTCATCCAAACTGGTTTTTATACAGGTGAATGGAAACAATTCTTACGTTGCAAAAGAGACATGGTCAGCTTGAATAATTGCAATCAGGTGACTGTGTAATATTGTGACAGGCCTAGTTACAGCTGCAACATAGCGTGTCTAGCACCGCATCCATCACTGATGTTGAATCCGGACGGAGCTGAGACAGACATGCAGACCTGTTCGGTGCTGCTAATCAATGCTGCTGATGTTCACTATTCAGCTACCACTGCTGTATTTTTAGCTGAATCATAAAATATAACGCAATAAAGGGTTCCTCAACAACACCACACATTTTAGCACATATTTCATTATGGAGCAAGTTGTCGCAAATTTTCAATATATAACTTTTAATCGGAAGAGTTTTGGAGTTTGCTGTTCATTCGCACACACAGATTGCAGCCAACTGTCATGCAAGGCATCACAAGTAACAAGGTACCTTTCCCAAGGACTCTTCAAAATGCAAGCAGGAGGAGCTGAAGATCGAAGCAAACTTCTAGAGTTGCTAGCAAATGACTCACCCTACCTCCTCACATCAAATATTATCCACCTGGGAGTTTTAGTCTTTGCTGTAGCCAGTATGAAAAGCCTTCATGAACAAGGGTTATGCTTCGGTCAGGTGGATTTGTCATCATATCAAACCATGATGATTGAAGATGTTGAATATTCCTAAAGCCTCTAAAGACAGTTTTTGTGACAGGCCGAATGGTGGTCATAAGTGATGAATTGCATTGCAGAGGCTAAGTAGAGAAAGGTGAAAGTCGGAAGGTTTACCATAGAGACCAAGGACAAAATCCCATCAGCAGAAACAAAGAAACTACAGAAATGGTTGATTTTGCTGGTGAGTGTGGCATTCAAAGTTTAGATAGATTGTATGTGTTTCTAAAATACTGTAAAAAGTGTCTTTTGTTTTGCTTTGCTTTGTACCTTTAAATCTCTTTTCATATCCATGTGTAAAGCTTGCTTTGTCCTATGAAGACATTCTTTGGAAAGTCCACTGTTAATGGCATTCAGCAAGCAAATTGAATTGTGGCTTTTCACACAAGTAGTGATACAACAGTCAGGATGTTTTACCTGAAAACTGTTAGGATGAAACTCTCTCCATCTCTCCTGTTTGTATTGTCAGACTGAAATTCTTTTTTCCTTCACACTCATAGCTGTGTCTGAAAATATGCCCCTTTGGCAATGTTCTCTCTTTATTTCCTTCTTTTTCTACTCTCTTTTGTTATGCTTTTCATTTCCTGTAGGTGATCCCAGGTCATTGAGTATAATTGTATCTTAGGCGATTGACTATACAAGCTGCAGTGAGAACAGAGATTACAGCCCCCCTCTGTGTGTTTGCACATTTGTGTGTGTGTGTGCACACTTCTGTGCCTGCTTTGCTTTTATTGTTGAACAGCACAGAATTGTCACTTTACTCCTCTGTAGTCACACTGCACTGTGGTGTCAATGCTTCATTTTGTTGTTTGCTAGAGTGTGTTGAAGTCCTTCCATAGCAGTTACAGCAGTGTCACAATGCTTTTTAATAGCCAGAAAAAATAACTTTTCTAAAATCAACAATTGCCGCAATATTCAGAGTTTGATGTTACTGTGCTTGTAGAGCTGCATTCTTTAGAGCAGCAGTGTCCACTGTGGTGGTGGTGGCCATACTGGATTTCAAAAAGGACTAGAAAAGAACAAGAATAGAACGGTATTTCCACACAAATCATACAGATTGTGTCATGCTTTCCTCTGAAAAGCAATGACTTCTCTAATCTTTTTTTTCAACTTGTCATTCTTGCCTCTTCAGAGCTCTTAAAGTTGGAAAATTTCTGTTCTAATCTCCTCTGAAGATTCAAAAAGCCTCTCACTGTGTAGACATAAGCAGAGCAAGTTCTTGAATAAAATAAGTGCACCAAAAAAGGCACGTTACATGACTTTGTCCTGGAGCGCAGTGATATATTCAACGACAAAAGATTATCCAAGCATTTATTGTTTTCTTGTAAAGCAGATACATTTTTCATGGTGAGGAACTTGTAGTGCGCGAAACAATGACAGGTACCATATTTAAAGTCTCTCCTGCACAAACTCACACAGACAAAGTGAGTATGGCCTAAGAGCCGTTGCTGGTGTGGTGCTGGAGCTCGAATGTGTTACGCTGACAGTCAGTGATGCTTGTGTAACACATACAGACACACCAAGGAAACTGTCTTGATTTGATATGCTGTTTGCTTGTTGGTTCATCCAGTGAGAAAACATTTCAAAGATGAGCAGCTTTTCACAAGTATGTATGATTCATTCTGGGCTGTTTGACCTGTGGAAGAGTCTATGATTCAGAATTCAAATTAGTTCTGCTGGCCGCGCATGCTGCTGCACTGACATGGGCAGGAATGCGATTTGTTCTGTCTATTACGGAAACAGATGCTTCATTTTAATACAATGTTCTAATCCTCAGTCAGTCAGTTGTGACAGAAAGTCAGTTAATTTGAGCTGCTTCACTCAGCAGAGGGAAAGTGGGACTACTTTATCTCCATGAGGCAATGATTGATTCCCTTCAGTGAATCTCAGAGCCAATATGACTTTGACCAGCTTCTCTTCATAAGCTCTACATTTACATTGGTGCTGAGCACATGTGCAGAGGAAATTGGCATTTGACCATCACCACTGTGTGTATGTGATTTTTGCTTTTACTTCGGCCTTCAGTAAAGTTCACTCTGCTACAGGGCTGTCTGCCTCAAAGCTCATTCCTTATTCCCATGAATTCTTTGCATTCCAGCTCTCTCAGGTCTCACGCTCACTTTCATGTGTGACTGGTTGAGATGTTTGTCACGGATTGTTTTGGTTTCCGGTAAGGCACGACCAGTTTGATTTGGGTCACTTTTTTTGAAGCTTCCTGACAGTGTCGTGCTGAATGGGCAGGATTGCTAGATACATGGACTCAGTCCATGTGCAGATCTGTCTCTCGTGTTGGCACCACAAGCCACTGAAGTGACAATGAGAAAATCTTACCTTCCTCCGGCTCTCACATGACCAAAAAGCACTCAGAGCTGCTCCAGACACTCACCAGCCAGCATACAAAGAGATGCAGCACAGACA